CTCACTGTAACCTCCAACTCCTGGGTTCAAGCAATTCTCCTGCCTCAGCCTCCCGAGTAGCTGGGACTACAGGCGCCCACCACCATGCCCAGCTAATTTTTTTGTATTTTTAGTAGAGATGGGGTTTCACCATCTTGGCCAGGATGGTCTCAATTTTCTGACCTCATGATCCGCCCACCTCGGCCTCCCAAAGTGCTGGAATTACAGGCGTGAGCCACTGTGCCTGGCCAGCTAAGTTTTTTGTATTTTTAAGTAGAGACGGGGTTTCACCATGTTGGCTAGGCTGGTCTTGAACTCAACCTCAGGTGATTCGCCTACCCCAGCCTCCCAAAGGTGCTGGGATTACAGGTGTGAGCCACCGCGCCCGGCCAATTCTTAGTCATCTTTCTGTAACTTCCTCAGGCCACCTTCCAAGAGTCAGAAAAGGGTCTGCTGAAAACCTAATTCACGTTGCACCTGAAACATGAATACCTGCGTATTTTAACTGCTATACCTTTAGCACTCAGCTCAAGGCCTAATACAAAGTTCTAGATGTTGCATGACTGTCTCAGAGGCAAGAAGGACTGTTTCAGGAGGGAGTGGTTCCAGAGCGTGGCTCTGCGCTGCCTCAGCTGTTTCTGACTTCTGCTGCTTACTCAGACAGGTCTCTTAATAGCTCAGCGCCTCAGCTTCCTCATCTATCAAATGGCAATAGTAATAGTACTACCACGGAGGGTGCTGGAGCATTCCATGAAGCACGACACTTAACATGCTGAGAAGCCTCTTGTCTGAGAGTGAGAGTTCAGTGTGTTCTCAGAGGCCAACCCCCGCTGCCCCTCTCACCAATCGTGGCTCGGATGAGCGAGGAGGCGTCGCCAATGTTGTTGAGACACTCCTGTTTGATGAAGTCTGCCACAGGGGGTGGGAAGCTCTGATAGTGCGCCTTCACGTTGTTCTTGAGGATGAGGCCGCTAAGAGAGCGCGTTGGCTCATCTGGGAGGAGGAAGGCTGAGGTTCAGGGGCCCACGGGGGAGAAAGCAGGGTCCCGATCGCATGGAAGGGAGCAGAGGGCGTACCTTCTGACTTGAGTCTGGTCAGGACGAAAATCAGGTAGTTGTTGAAGTCAGGAAACTGATTGAGTTGTTTGAGTTTCTGCCAGGCTGTTAAGGGACTTGGAAGACAGAGGCCTTCCCCCAGCCAGGCCCCCTCACTATGTACCTGACACTATCTCTGACCACTGGGACCCGGCTGCTAGCTCCTGGGGGATCCCACTCCCTAATAAGCCCACAATGACACAGAGCACCTCAAACACGTCAAATTCATACAAGGGGCTGGGCGCGGTGGCTCACATCTGTAATCCCAGCACTTTTTGGGAGGCTGAGGCGGGCGGATCACAAGGTCAAGACTAGCCTGGCCAGCATGGTGAAACGCATCTCTACTAAACATACAAAAAAATTAGCCGGGCATGATGTGTGCGTGCCTCTATTCCCAGCTACTTGGGAGGCTGAGGCAGAAGAATTGCTTGAACCCAGCAGATGAAGGTTGCAGTGAGCCAAGATCATGCCACTGCAATCCAGTCTGGGCGACAGAACAAGACTCCATCTCAAAAAAAAAAAAATCATACAAGGAGTTGGGTGGAAATGTCTGAGTTTCCCATCTACTCCTGAAGACCCAGCCAGAGCAGAAGAGGGAAGGAGAATCCCACTCCTCTTAAAGTGGCAGCTACTAGTCAGCTCTCCCCAGTAACAGGTCATGGTACCTTTTTTTTTTTAAAAAAAAAAAAAAAAGGGAATCCAGATTTTGGAATGAGTCATGCTCATGGTTTAAACATTTATGTATTTATTTATTTTGAGACAGACTCTCACTCTTGTCACTTAGGCTGGAGTGCAGTGGCGCGATCTCGGCTCACTACAACCTCCGCCTCCCA